ATATTCCATCTTAAAACAAAATACACCTTCTTTTCAAGTGCACATGGACCATTCTCCAAAACAGATCATGTGAGGCCACAAAATAAGTCTCAACAAATTCAAAAATACTGAAGTCATACCATGCATCTTTTCTGACCACAACACTATGAAACTAGAAACCAACCACAAGAAAAAAGTCTGGAAAGAACACAAATACATGGAGGTTAAGTAACATACTAAACAATGAATGGGTCAACCAAGAAATCAAAGAGGAAAGAAAAAAAAATACATGGAGACAAATGAAAATGAAAACCCAATGGTCCTAAATCTTTGGGATGTACCAAAAGCTATTCTAAGAGGAAGTTTATAGCAATACAGGCCTGCCTCAAGAAGCAAGAAAAATTGCAAACAATGTAACTTTACACCTACGGGAGCTAGAAAAAAACCAAACAAAACCAAAACCAGCAGAAAGAAGGAAATAATAAAGATTAGAGCAGAAATAAATGAAATAGAAAATTAAAAAACCAACAGATCAGGAGATGGTTCTTTGAAAAGATCAACCCAATTGATAAACCTCTAGCCAGACACAGCAAAAATAAAAAAGAGAGGACTCAAACTCAAAAATGAAAGAGGAGAAATAACAACTGACACCACAAAAATAAAAAAGAATTATAAGAGAATATTATGAAAAATTATATGCCAACATGTGGGACAACCTAGAAGAAATTAGATAAATTCCTAGAAACATATAACCTCCCAAAACTGAATGAGGAAGAAATAGAAAATTTGAACTGACCAATTACCAGCAACAAAATTGAATCCGTAATCAAAAAAACTCCCAACAAACAAAAGTCCAGGACCAGACAGCTTCACAGGTGAATTCTACTGAACATTTAAAGAAGAGCTAATATCTATTCTCAAACTTTCCCAAAGAATAGAGGAGGAATGAAAGCTTCCAAATTCATTCTCTGAAGCCCTCATTACCCTGATATCAAAATCAGATAAAGACACTATGAAAAAAGAGAACTACAGGCCAATATCCCTGATGAACATTCATGCAAAAATCCACAACAAAACACTGGCAAACCAAATTCAACAATACATTAAAAAAAATCACTCACCACGATCAAATGGGATTTATTCCCGGAATACAAGGGTGGTTCACATTTGCAAATCAATATGCTACATCACATCAATAAGAGAAAGGATAAAAACCATATGATCATTTCAAAAGAAGCAGAAAAAGCATTTGACCAAGTGCAATATCCATTCATGACAAAAACCCTCAACAATGTAGGTTTAGAGGGAACATAACTCAACATAATAAAGGCCACATATGAAAAACCCACAGCTAACATCATACTCAACAGTGAAAAACAGATTTGTTCCCCTGAGATCAGAAACAAGACAAGGATGTCCACTCTCACTTTTATTCAACACAGTACTGGAAATCCTAGCCTGGGCAATCAGACAAGAAAAAGAAGTGAAAAGCATCCAAATTGGTAAGGAAGAAGTAAAACTTTCATTATTTGTAGATGACATAATACTATGTATAGAGAACCCTAAAGACTCCAACAGAAAACTACTAGAACTGATAAATGAATTCAGTAAGGTCGCATGATACAAAATCAATATACAGAAAACCACTGCATTCCTATACACTAATAATGAGGCAGCAGAAAGAGAAATTAACAAAACAATCCCACTTACAATTTCACCAAAAATAATAAAATACCTAGGAATAAACTTAAACCAAGTAGGTGAAAGATCTAAAGTCTGAAAACTATAAAACACTCATGAAAGAAATTGAAGATGACACAAACAAATGGCAAGATATTCCATGCTCAAGATTGGGAGAACAAATATTGTTAAAATGTCCATACTACCCAAAGCAATCTACAGATTTAATGCAATCCCTATCAAAATACCAACAACATTTTTCACAGTACTAGAACAAACAATCCTAAAATTTATATAGAACCACAAAAGACCCTGAATAGCCAAAGCAATCTTGAAAAAGAAGAACAAAACTGGAGGTATCACAATCCCAGATTTCAAGTTACACTACAAAGCTGTAGTAATCAAATCAGTATGGTACTGGCACAAAAACAGACACATAGATCAATGGAACAGAAGAGAGAGAGACCAGAAATCAACCCATGATATGATCTATTAATCTTCAGTAAAGGAGGCAAGAATATGCAGTGGGAAAGAGTCTCCTCAACAAATGTTGCTGGGAAAACTAGACAGCTACGTGCAAAAGAATGAAAGTGGCCCACTTTCTTACCCATACACAAAAATAAACTCAAAATGGATTAAGGACCTAAATGTGAGACCTGAAACCATAAAAATCCTAGAAGAGAGCACAGGCAGTAATGTCTCTGACATCAGCCATAGCAACATTTTTCTAGATACATCTCCTGAGGCAATGGAAACAAAAGCAAAAAAATAAGCTACTGGGACTACATCAGCGTAAAAAGCTGCACAGCAAGGGAAACAATCAACAAAATTAAAAGACAACCTACTGAATGGGAAAAGATATTTGCAAATGACATATCTGATAAAAGGTTAGTATCCAAAATATATAAAGAACTTTTATAACTCAACACCAAAAACCCCCAATAATCCAATTAAAAATGGGTAGAAGAATGAAAGACATTTCTCCAGAAAAGATACACAAAATGGCCAACAGACACATGAAAAGATGCTCAACATCCTCATCATCAGGGAAATGCAAATCGAAACCACAGTGAGATATCACCTCACACCTGTCAGAATGGCTAAAATCAAAACCATAAGAAACAAGTGTTGGTGAGGATATGGAGAAGAAGGAACACTCATGCACTGTAGGTGGGATTACAAACTGGTATAGCCACTGTGGAAAACAGTATGGAAGTTCCTCAAAAAATTAAAAATAGAACTAACAATATGACCCAGAAATCACGCTACTGGATATTTACCCAAAGAATCTGAAAACATTAACTTGGAAAGATATATGCACCCCTATGTTTATTGCAACATTATTTATAATAGCCAAATTATGGAAGCAATCCCAGTGTCCACTGATAGATGAATGGATAAAGAAAAAGTGTGTAGTAGGAAGGGAAAAATGAAGGGGGTGAAATCGGAGGGGGAGACAAACCATGAGAGACTATGGACTCTGAGAAAAAAACTGAGGGTTTTAGAGGGGAGGGGGGTGGGGGGTTGGGTTAGCCTGGTGATGGGTATTAAAGAGGGCACGTTCTGCACGGAGCACTGGGTGTTATAATGAATCATGGAACGCTACATCAAAAAGTAATGATGTAATGAATGGTGACTAACATAAAATAAAATTAAAAAAAAGAAAAAGTGGTGTGTGTGTACACACACACACGCACGCACGCACACAATGGAATATTACTCAGCCATAAAAAATGAAATCTTGCCATTTGCAATAACGCAGATAGATCTACAGGGTATAAAGCTAAGTGAAGTAAGTCCGAGAAAGACAAATACCATACATTTCACTCCTATGTGAAATTTAAGAAATGAACAAAGAATAAAACCAGACTCTTAACTATAGAGAGCTGATAGCAGAGGGGCAGTGGAAGGGGGGATGGGGGAAATAGGTGAAGGGGATTAAGATCACTTGTCTAGATGAGCACTGAGTAGTGTACAGAACTGTTGAATCACTCTATTATACACCTGACACTGATATAACACTGTGTATCAATTATACTGGAATTAAAATGAATAGAATTCTGTTCTGTTCTACATCTCAGATGTCTGTTAGATATTAAAGAAGCAATTGAACATACAAGTCTGGCTTTGTGGGAGTGCATCAGGATTGGGAACCAGTGGGGCTGGGTAGGTGCAGAGGTGAAGGGACCATGGTGTCTGAAGGAAGATTTTCAGAGGACATGCAGTTAATGGTGATGCTCAGAGATGAGGGACGAGCGTGGGAGCAAATGGCTAAAGTGGGGTGGAAGTGAGTAGTCAAGGAGCAGAGGCCAGATGCTGGAGGGACTGTCCCCAGGGAGCGAAGTTGCCAAGAATGGTGGCAGGAGTAGAGGCCCAAAAGAAGACTGTAGACAAGAAGCCACATGCTCACAAACGGAGGTGCTTCTTGACAAACAGTAAAGATCCTACACTTCCCCCATGACCCCACAAGCCGGGGATGGTGGAGAGGAGCGCGCTAGAGATAGAAAGATATGTGGGTGTGAGAGCAAGGCATCTGGGGGTGCCTGTCTGTCCCGAGCCCCAGAGTTCCTAGGATGCCATACGGCAGCCGGAGCAGAAGCCAGATGGGAGGCTGGTTGGGAACGCTCCAGCTTTTGGGTATTGCTACTACCAGAGGAGGCCGCTTTGAAGTCATGAAAGTCTGTTAGGACAGGACGTCTACAGAGCTCATGGGAGGGAAGGGGAGGAAATTCCTGGAGGAAGGCAGATGACAAGGAGGAAGGAGGGGCTGCAGCATCTGAAGAGTCCCCGCTCTGCAGGAAGCCTCAGATGCTGGGAGAAAGCCTGCCGAAAGCTGGCATCTAAGCCTCTGGCCAAGGGGGAGAGGACCGCTCTGCTCGGACCCAAGACGTGCACAGAGCCTGTGCACCTAGCTAGCTTCCTCTAGCAGAGTACCTGGGATGCCTTGCTGTGAACCTCTGCCAACATCTCCAACGGCCTGTGACTTGCAAGAGGTTTTGGCCCCTGGTGGGATGGCAGTGAAGCCTTAGGGAACATTGTTCCCAAGCTTGCCTGAACCTTCAGAAAAGATTCATCAAGGAAGCAGCGGCACCCAGTCCCCCTCTCACAGAGCTGCCACAGGTGACAGAGAAAGTGGAATTTTCTTGGGATCCTGTAGGTTCAGACAGATGGTCCCCTGAGACTTTGCAGGAATCAGGCTGGGAGGGTGAAGGATGCATGCCAGGAGGAGGAGGCCAAAGGAGACATAGAAAGGCAGGCCCCCACATCACTTGGGACCTGCTTAACAGCTTCCTCTCCCTCCAGCTCAAGATTTTCAGAACATCTGTATTCTTTCTACTTACCACCGACTTGCGAATGCTGACACGAGGCTTGGGGATAGGTTTGGAGGGTTTGTTTTCAAAGCTTTCTGGAAGTGTAGAGGAATGCCCCCCTTTTCTTGCTTGTAGTGCAAGTTGGTAAGCAACTTCAAATGCCTGACCCAGTGTTAGGATGATTTCGTAGGCTAAATTCTGCAAGAGAAAAGAGAAAAGCATTTACTGTGGCATACTGCAGGTTGGCCAAGTTGAGTAGCTGAGGAACACTGTGGGAGGTGAACTAGCAAGGACCTTGAACTAGTCCACCTGGTGTGGCAGTGAGTCAGTGGAAATCTGTGAAGAACAGGAAACCCCAGGTCCAATTTAGAGTCTACATGAGGCATTAGTCAGCAATGCGATGCACTGGCTTACGACCACGCTAAGGAGCTGACCCCCAACTTCACCCTACGGGGAGCAGGCCCACACCCCCTGGCCCCAGGAGCCTATTCCATTCAGAGCCTCCCTCGTGGGCAGCTGGTTGGCTCCCAGGCCTTGGAAGATAAGGGGTTACTATGGTCCTTCATCTGAGTTCTGGGAGTGCCTCAGCTGTGCTTGTAAGAACGAGCCCACACACTCTACAGGAGGTGTTCCTGAGAAGTTTGGGTCTTTTTACCTCAAACATCTGTGATTCAGTGAACATCTCTAAAGCACAATCAAAATCTAATTTAGGCGGAGGGGAGAGGCATTAGTCATGCTGGTGTGGTGTCTCACAGTTCCAGCAGCCAGCATGCAAACAGAGCCAATTATCCATCTATTTCTTGAGGCGCTTGCTCTCCCTGTGGGTCCACTTCCATATTTTATCATCAAATCAGCAAGAGACAGGAGAGTCTGTCAGGCCCAAATGCCATGCCAAGCAGTGACTGGGAGAAAGGTTCTTTTCTTCGGACCTTCAGTCACTCCCTTCAAGATGACTTCTAGCTTTCTTTTCTCTTCTCTAGATATGAATCCTTGATTTCTGCCTTCTCTTCCCAGCACAGCTCCACCTGGTCTTCTCTCACTGAGAAAACATGATGTTGTCTGACCCCAGAGAGGCAGGGTCTTGACAATGCCCCTGAGGTCACAGCACACCAAAGAGGTAGATGCCTTATCTATCAGTCACAACAGAGAGCTTTCTTAAAATCATTGCACCAGCAGAGAGCAGGCATGGTCTGTCTCAAGTTTTCATTCTGATCAGTGTCCCTAGAATGTCTATTCATGGTTTTTCAGAACAGAAATGAAGAAGACAGTGAAGGAGATACAGGATGGCCTTTGGAGGCCCAAGTGGAAGAAGTCCATGGGTTTCTGGACCAACCAGACTTCAGATCAATGCCAGACTACTGTGGTCTTAGACCCAAGGAGGGAAAATGCCTCTGAGCTTGAAATCTGTTTTGACAGAGGAGGGGTCTTCTTTGAGTGACATGTTAAGAAATGATGGCCCCACAAGACAGACGTGTGCTTGCTGGAGACACTGAACCTTGCACAGCCAACTGAGCACTTCCTGCAATGAGCACTGATCCTGTGTTTGCCTCCAAGCATGAGTCAGACTAGTAAATTAGCAGTGCACAGACAAATGATAGTGGAGGAGGGCTGGCAGATAGCTCCGGCCATCACTGCACAAAGAGGGCTGAACCCTTCGACTGCCTACACTTGGCATCACGTCATCGTCAGCTTTGCCTCCTAGTGTGCATAGGGGACGCCTCTGAAAGGCAGACTGGGGCTTTTGACTTCTGTAGTCTCCATGTGAAGTCATGGGCTCTTGGTCTTGTTCAGCATGACTCTGGAGATGGTTGATGTCCATCCGTCAGGGCTATGTAGCAGATATTCATGCTCTAGGTGGGCAAATGGATGAAGGGAAAGACGGCAGATTCAGCAATTATATAATGTTCAGCTTTTATATACTAGAACAGTGGAGCTTAATGAGTGTGAATTCTTTATCATTAACCTAAAAACAAATTCCTGAAAGTGAGATTTACTTAAAGCTCCAGTGTCTTCAAAAGAAAGTCAAAGATGCTCATTTGAGCAAGTGAGATTTTTCACATGACTATTATGGGAAGCCTAAAGGTTTTGAAGGGTAGTGGGTTAGAAGCCCTGCTTTTTCATTTTTAATTAGTTCTTGGTGTTAGGAAACTGCTCAAATAAGACACTGAGACCAGACTGTGCCAAATGCCCTCTCCTGGTTTGGCTTGTGTTCTTCTTGATGTCTTGCTTCTCGCTTTATTTTTGAATGCTTTACAGAGTTGTTTTTTCTTATGATTATGTAGAGTTGGATACGGTTACCTTTCCTATCTCTTATGTTGCCTCAATGTTTGAGGTATTGATTCTGGAAGCCAGGGAGGGCCCATGGGCATGAGGAGCAGCTGGTTCTGATGGGGCTTCTAAATGCTGAGCGCTGTACTACTGACATACCAGGGCCCCTGAGGGGAACACTCATCAGGTTGGACCTGCTGACACATGTCTAGATGGGGAGGAAGATTCGTTTCTCTTGCCTCTCCTTAGTAACAGTCCCACTATTTAAATGGGAGGACGGTTACTGTGAGGGTAGGAGTCTCAACTAGGACGAGACCAAAAATTAATACTGCAGTATCAGAGAGGCTTAGGTGACAAGCCTTGCTACCTTCTTTGAGCCAGGCTTGCTGACCCCAGTGATGCTGGCTGGCATTGAAGAGCTAGAGATGCCTCAAAAACCTGAAGGCCCAATTACTCTCTGTTTTCAATGTATTATTATCTTTGCAACTGTGGGGAGGTCAGTGCCTGAGACTATGCCTGACACACCGTAGGCACTCAGTAAATGCATGCTAAATGAATGAATGAATAGGCAAAGGACAAATGAGAGAAATAGCACTACTACAGTTATACTATATAGAGTTATTACTGTAGGTAGCATAGCTACCATTAAGTAAGGACTTCACAGGTATTAGGAATTGAGTATGCACTAGATTTATCTCATTTAAGTATTATCACAGTTATCTGCAAAATCTCTTTATCCTTATTTTATAGATGAGGCTCAGAGAGACTAAGTAACTTACCTGACATCACAGAGCTAGAAAGTTACAGAGCTGTGATATGAACCAGTATTTGTGACTCAAAGCCCATGTTCTTACCCCTACCCACATGTGGTAGCTTGTCTCCAAGACGGCTGCCATCCATTCCACTGCCCTGTGTCTACGCCATGACCTTCTACGAAGAGGGTGAGTCTGTTTCTCCACCTCCTTGAATCTGGATTGGCTTTCCTGACTTTCCCAATTAGCAGAGTATTGCAGAAGTGACATGCTGGGACCTCTGAGATTTGGTTGTAAGGAGTCTTGTAGCTTCCATCCAGGCCTCTTGAAACACTCTGAGGGAAGCCAGCCATGTGTAAACATTTGACCACCCCGAGGTTACCATGCTACGCAAATGTCCAAGCTAGCCAAATGGCAGAGGCTGCCTGGAAAGAAACAGCAGTTGCAGTCATCCCAGCGAAGGAGTCATCCTGGACATTCAGTCTCTAGGAGACACCACACGGGGAGGACGCAAGACCCCAGAGAGATGGCCCTAGTAGAGCTGTCCCAACATCAGCAGCCATCTGAGCCACCTCAGCGGAGGCCCCAGGTATCGCTGAGCAGAAAAGAGCAGAGCTGCCATATTCTGCCCAAATCCCTCATTCACAGAATCATAATGAAATGGATGTTCTTCTGTGTCACTAAGTTTTGGAGTGGCTTGTTAAGCAGCAACAGATAACTGGAACACCATTCAGTGCTGAAGAAGGCTGGCTGGCTCCTCGTTCCGGTAGCAGGAAGAGAACTGCCAGCCTCTGAGCTGGGATGAACAGTATGTAGTCGTGGGGAGTCACTCCTGGAACCACCCCACCCTCAGCCCTGGCTGTGGGGAAGCTAGATGCCTCCTGTGACCCATCCTGGTCACAGCATCACAGTAAGCACTAGGGTGTCCCTTCACACATATTAGCCCAAACCACAGAGCTGGAATGTCCTTCTAAGTTGGCACAACCATGTTCTCATCTCTAGTCACTACCTCCCTTGAGCATAAATTCAAACCCTTTCAGCTTTACGTTCACTACGTTAACCTGGCCTGTCTCTGACCGTGGCTCTTTCTGCCCCTCCTGGCTTATTGGAAAATACCTGCCTTGGCTTTTCCAGCATGAGTCTCTTTCTAGAATCACATTTATTATGGCAATTGGTCTTGAGCATTTTCTACCTTACAAAGACCATCAATGAAAGCGGGTAGCCTGTGTGTGTGCATGCATGTTTGGTACAGGCGTGGGGGATGATGACTGGGGACAGCATGCTCTGAGCCTCATTTTTCTTAATTTAAAAATGGGGATGATAACATGCAGTAGTGACTTCACTGGATTGTTTTGAGAATCACTCATGATTACACTTAACCAATGACAATTTCAGCCAACATTATTTTCTGTGTGCCATGTACCATAGGACATGCTTCACATGGACTCTCTCATTGAATCCTAACAACAACCACCACCCTGTAGGGGTTATAACAGTGGGGCTATTATTCGTATTTCACATGTGAGAGAATTCAGCTCAGAATGGTTAAATAACTTGGTCATGAAGCCAGCACAGCAGAGCTAGGATTTGAATCCAGGTGTTGGTAGGCCCTGCTCTTGAACTTAGAACTATAGTTAAGATAAATGACTTCTGCAAACTGTTAAAAAAAAAAAAAAAAGCTTAAAAACATTAAATACAGAAACTACTGGGTGGTAAGTGCATCTTGGCTGGGGTGAGGATACCTAACGGTACACAATTTGCTTGGGTCTCAGCCTCCAGGCAAAGGGTGTCCTTCGTGATTTAACATGATCCATCATCACAAGGATTCTCAACCATTGGATGTGCCCCTTACATGATGAGGGATGCCAGGCAACACTCCCTTTCCAGCAGAGACTCTTTAGGATGAAGGCAGGGAATCCCAAGTCAATGGGGACAACCGCCCCAGGGGGACCATCACCATCTCTAAAGCCCTTCCCTTCTCCCCTAGGGATTCTGTTCTTCGAATTAAGAATTGCTACATTAGAGGAATTTGCAGAGCCATCATATTTTAAGGAGAGATCTTAATAGTAATCAAGGGACACAAACTTGTTTTTCTTATGCAAACTGGAGATGTGTAGGCAAGCTTGCATTTACTAGGAGCTCAAGGCAGTCAGGACTGCAGTTGACCACGTTGGCTAC